ACCTGCCTGGCCTCTCGCACTGTTCACACCGTGCCTGGACAGTGGGCCTCACCACATCCCACTGTTCGGATGCAAGAGACGGGGCCAGGCAAGCAGGAAGTGGGGGCATGGGAGGACAGGCGTCCTCTGGCGTAGGTGGCGGCTCGCAGGGAGGGCAGGGCCCCGTCACTCACCAGCCGCTGCTGCTCCAGCAGGTAAGTGGCCTCCTCCCGCTCGCGGCGGTACTGGTCCTCCAGTTCCTGGAGCCTGCAATGGGGCGTTGGGGTGAGCGCGGGAGGGCAGGAGTGGCAGCAGGCAGACGGGGGTGTCCTCCGCCTCACCTCTGTTCCATCTCCTGCTTCATGTCGATGCCCTGCTTCTCCAGCAGCTCACGCTGGGCAAAGGCCCAGTCCACAGGCTCAGCTGGCGTCTCCGCACAGGGCGTGCGCTCACGCTCCTGCCGGGCCTGCTCGGGGTGGTTGAACCGGAACACGTGGCTCTTACCCATGATGATGCGGTTTCCTGGGGGACCAAAGGACAGGTGGCCTTGAGGGACCTTCAGGTCTCTGATGGTCTCAAGCGGGGAGACGTGAGGAGAAGGAGGAATGGGTGCAGGCACCCCACCATCCGCAGCTCCCAGCCACTCCTTCTCCAGCCCTTGCTGGGACCTGAATGTGTCTCCTCACTCTCCCCATAAATCCACCCTTGGCTGCTCTCTACTCAGCAGCCAGTGACATGTGCAAACCACAGATGTGGGGCCTCTGCTGTGCTCCAGTGTCCCCGCCCCTCCCCAGGCCAGCCTTGTACTTGCCTCCTGCCCCCAAGCCCCCGTGCACACAGCCAGGACCCTCCCTCTCACATCCAGTCTCGGGCTGGAGCCCCCCAGGGCTGGGCTTGGGCCCCCCACAGAGCACTGTTGCAGGGCGCAGGACCCTTCCCTTCTATCTGTCTTCCCCACTAGACTGGAAGCAGGGCTGGGGCAGGTCCCCTGTGCCCAGGGCCGGGGTTCAGGGTCCGGAGTCAAGAGACCACAAGAAGGAAGCAGGGGTGGCAGCTAGCAGGCACAGGTGGCTGCAGAGCCTCAGCATCAGGGCCTCCAAGGTGTGGGCATCAGTCCAGCCCCTCCTACCCCGGCACCCGACTGGACCCCACTCAGGGCTGCCTCATCTGCAGGGCCCTCCAGGGCAGCACTCACTGTCTTGGGACAGCCCTGTGTGCAGGGGCTCTCTTTGGATGGCCTAGTTTCCCTCTGACTTTCCCTGGGAGCTGTAGCTCTGTCTTGGGGCTCCACAGAGCTGGCTCTGCCCTGCTTCCCACCCAGGTGGACTGTGCCTGCAGGTCTGTCCTCCCTCAGCGCCTCCTTGTTGGCCGCTCTCAGCTGGCTACTTCCTCTGTCCTCCCTGTCCACAGGCCGCGCGCAACCCACCTTGGACACTGGGAGGGAAACACCAAGCTAAGGCCTCTCTTAGCTTAGGCCCCGCCCTGAGCCCCACAGGCACCAGGGCCAACTCCGAAATAAGTAGGGAGAATGGGCACAGCTGTCTGTCTGTCCGTCTGACCTGCTGTTGCCCAGGCTTAGCCACACCGACTCCCCATGACAAGGCTACCCCACGAATTCAGGACATTCAGCGTGTCCTGCCCTCCTGCCCAGGGACCCCAAAGGCGGGATTCCTGAGTCCCGGGGACTCCTCTGAAAGCCTTCAGGGGTGGGCAGATGGGCTAGAAGTGGGGCCCCTGGGTGTCACCTGCCCCTCCTCATCCCTCTGCTTTCCCCCAAGACAGGGTCGGGAAAGGGTCTCCCCTGTTCCAAGCCAATGGTCACTTTTATGTCAGCCTGGCCAGGCCACAGCACCCAGTGATTCAGCCACGCCCTCCCCGGGTGTTGTGTGGAGGTTTCTGCACACGTGCTCCACACCTGCAAGCGGCTGATGGAAGTCAAGGAGGCGCCCAACGGTGGGGTGGGCCTCGTCCAAGCAGGTGAAGACCTAAGAGCAAACTGGGGCCTCCTCTGAGGAAGAAGAAACCCAGCGGATGGAGTCCACTCCTGCCGAGTTCCCAGCTTGCCACCTGCCCATGGATTTCAGACTTCCCTGACCAGCCCCCCTCATCTGATAAGCCAATTCCTTGAAATAAATCTCTTTATACCTAGACATGGCTGTACGTATCTCACTACATCTCAGTCTACAGCCTGTCTCACTACACCATGTCTACAGCCATGTCTGTGTGTCAGGCTGCTGCTGTTTCTCTGGTGGAACCCTAACTGCCTGGGTGATAGTCACACGCCACTCCGGAGGGACCCCTGTCTGACTTCTCTAAAGAAGGGACTTTATACCATGTGTGCCTGCACGTGTTTGAATATCACAGACACTGCAGTGTCTGGGAACAGAGCCCAACCCCACCTGGGGTGCTACATTCAGAGGCTGGAGCAGCCCCTACCCCGCTGATGCTCCACAACACCTCAGCTCTGGGAAGCCTCTGTCCAAAGCCCTGTCTCCCCCAGACCAGCCCCACAGGGCAGAGTCCTGGGCCGGGAGGCAGGAGCTTCTTCCCAGGTGGGCAGATCCTGCTCCTTACTCAGCCCCCAGCATGGACTCAGTGTCTCAGGGTCCTTGTGTTGTGTGAATGGGGCCTGTAGTGCTGTGTTCCTAGAGCTGGGGGACTGGGGAGGCACGTGAGCTGGTCAGGTACCCGCAGCCCCCTCCCCTACCTGCCCCGCAGCCCTTAAGAGCTGCCGTCCTGCAGAGTGCACAGGAGGTGGTGGCTTGGACATGGGAACAGAGGTCTCATCTCATGCCTCTGCCTACCTGACCGGCCCCTGGAGTCCCCAGCCGTACCTGACCGCAGGATGCTGGGCTCTGTGACTTTCTTGCCATTGACGTAGGTGTCTGCCCCCTCACAGGGCTCCAAGGTCACCACAGCTACAGGAAAGGTGGGAGGGGCAGAGGAGAGGAGTATAAATGGCTGTCACCTACAGCAGCTCGGCTTACTTGGCCCCCGGGCATGGCCTCCCCCAGGCCTCTCTTCTCCCTGCTACACAGACCCTGACCATTGGCAACACTCATTTGGGCCTCAGAGGAGCCTAGGGGTCTCACCCCACCCAACAGAGGAAGAAAGTGACCCCCAGGAGGAGGATGCATGTGCCCACGTTGAAGCTGAGAGGCTGTGCTGGGCCTGATCACCCAGGGCCCTGTCCAGCTCTCCAGGTAGACAAGGATAAAAACATCAGCTAATGGGGCCTGGGCCACCCTACAGGAGATGGCAGGCAGGACCTTGCAGTCAGAGAATTCCAAGAGAGCCAACTGTCCCAGCACCACTTAGAGCCATCATCCTGAGATGGTCAAGTTGGACAGTGGATGTCAGTCACAGGTCTGCAGGCCAGAGGCTGGCTGGATGCTGCCAGGAGATGCCCTTAGCCCAGGCTGTGGGCCATGTGATGGCACACTGACACCACAGGCCCATCCCCGAGTTGGGCAGCACCAGGCAATGGGAACAGCCCCACGTCATCTCCGGGAGGGAGATCACTGGGCAGGCAGGGGAAACGGACAGATGGCCGCCCACAGCCAACAGGAAATCAAGGTCTGGAAATAGTTTTCCACCCTAGATCTGGGCTCACTCCTCATGGCTCACTGTCCTCCCGCCATGAACATCCTCCACCCTGGGCCCCAACACACTTCCCGGCCAGCAGCCCACCTGTGCCCCCACTTCCAGCCCTCAAGGAGGCTCAGCTCCCTAAGGCAGCAGCCACCTCTGGCCACAGAAGGCACCAGGCATTTTCTCAAGCACCAACCTAATGGAAGTTGTCTTCAAGGCTGGCCCCAAATGTGTCTCTCCAAATCTCTCTCTCTCTCACACACACACACACACACACACACACACACAGACACATCCTGCCTAGAAGTATGACTCGCCACCCACTTAGAGCTGGGGAGGCTGGGAGAGGGTGACCTCTTCAGGCCTGATCATCACAGCACAGGGCCGTGGGTGCGGGTGGGGACGGTAGGGTGGCCATACCTTCACTGCCTCCCCTGGAGTCGCTCCGGAAGACACAGTGCTCCTCCTTGATGAAATGCCCACTCAGAACAATGTCCTGCCGCCTCTCGCCATCCTCCCTGCCCACTCTGCGGGGTGGGGGCACCATCAGAACTGCAGCCGGGACCCAGCACACCCGGGATGCCACCCACTGGCCTTCAGGGACACCCAGTCAGGATTGTTTGGGAAACAGCCAGGGCAGACATCAGCAGTCGCTGGAGAAGTCCAAACTCAGTGGCCCCTTTGCAGCAGCAGGAATGGGGAGTCCACCCTTCCTCTGCCAGATCCCAGGGCCTGGCCAGGCTGGAGTGGCTGCCAGGTCCCTTCTCACCTGGTGATCCCATCCTTGATGTAGTAGAGGAGGCACTCGGACATCAGCGGGTCCTCGTTCAGGTTGACGAGGTGTGGTGTCTGCAGGGAGACAGGAGGATCATCTCTCCTGCAGGGGGCAGGAGCCCGACGCTGGCCGCAGCCTGTTCTGACCTCTCCCCAGGCACCAGACCACCTCCAGGTCCCCTGCCCCTATACTCCTACCAGGCTGGTCACTCCAAGCCAGGAAAATGAGGAACACAGAAAGCGCAAGCCGTAGGCCCAGCCCACCAACAGCAGCAGGCTGGTGGGACCCGACCACCCGCGTACACCCAGGCTTGGCACAGCAGCCCCAGCACTGCAGCAGAAGCTGGGCTTCCAGAAAGGCAGAGAGCCCCTGCTCTCAGCATGTCAGGCCCTGGGGCCCTCTGAGGCTGGGGTGAGCCCCCAGATGTGCAGACCACAGGCTTTGTCCCATGGGGTCCTGGGTTCTCAGCTTTGGACTGTAAAATGGGATTCCAGGACCCCATTCCAGCTCAGACAGCCCAGAAACTGTGGGCTCGCCAGTGGGAGCCAAGAACCAAGAAGGATCAGGTCACTGACCATGGAAGGCTCAGCCCTGGGGTCTGGGGAGTGAAGCAGTTGTGAAAGGATCCTTGATGAGCCACCTGAGGCACCCCCACGCAGAGAGGTGGAGACCTTGACACTGGACGAAGGGGACAGACCATCCCCAGCCATCCCTGCCCCCCGAGTGGGGAAGATGTCCAGCCAGGAGGGCTGTGTCCACGGCGTTGGGGCTGAGTAAGGGCTGCAGCCTTGGGACCCCACTGGCCTGTGAACATCTCGTGACTTCCAAGAACACTGAACTTCTCAAGAACGGGGTCTCCAGTGGTCCCACTTCTGGGTAGTGCCCAGACCCAGGGCCACCAATAAAGCTGCACCCCTGGAGTTCCACCCTACCCCTCCAGGAAGGGGATGGGGCCTGAAACAGTGCGGGGAACAATCCATTCCAAACCAAACCAAAGGCCTGTCTGGAAGACGTGTGTAGTGAAGCCCCATTAGGGGACTGCCTGTCCCCGCCCTGCCCAGGACTGGAATCTCCCTACAGCTCTTCTCAGGCCCTTCCCACCTCTGGACCTCAGCATGTGCGGGGCCCCTGGCCTGGAGCACAGCCCTGCCCAGCCCCTCCCAAGCTATGGACACACAGGTGTCTGTCCCCATGTCCTGGCCATCTTTGGGGTGGGTGTGTGTGGTTTGGGGACTAGAACCAGAAGAAAGACTTTTTCCCAAGTGTGTGTGTCATGCCCCACCTGGGCTGCTGGATGGGGGCACAAGAGTCGTATACACTCTGAAGCAGCTGCCCAGGGGTTCTGTGCCATTTGAGGGCCCCCAGCTGAAAGACTCCTTAGGCTTGGCCTGGTGGAAGAGGAGGGGTCCCCGCTGGAACAGTCAGACCTGACTCCAGCTGAGTTCCAAGAAGGCAGCTGGCGCCCAGCTGTGTAAGCAGCACAGGCTCCAGGGCAGGTCCAGGCCCCTCACGTCTCAGTCTCCAGCCTGGGCGTTGGCTTCTCAGCCTTGCCCTGACATTGGGGAGCCCAGTCCACACTCCAGGCCACTAAGAGACCCATCTGACGTCCCAAAGCCGCCAGGACGCCCCACCATGAGAATGTGGGCACTGAATTCTCCACGAAAAGCAAAGTGTGACTGTGGGTGGGCTTCACAGCCCCAGTGCCTGGGCCAGAGCCCCGACGTGCCCCCTACTCCCAGAAGTCCCCTCTGGTTCTACCTGAGACAGCCCCTCACCTGGTCCTAGTCAGATCAGGGCAGTACCACAGAACTGAGATAGCTCCTACCTTTTTGGGAGAGAATACGCCCAAGGTGCCGCCATCCTCCCTCATGGCCACACCCATCTCGGCCAGCAGGGCTTCCCTGGGGGAACAGAGATGAGGTCAGCACAAGCTCCACAAGGCTTCCGGCACTGGCCTCAGCGCTGGCTGACCAATGTGGGCAGTGGGCCTGTGGCCACCGTGGCCTGGGTGGTGCCCATGTTGTGTCCCATCTGGTCAGGTCACTGTGTTAGGGCATCTGCTGATGGGACCGGCCCCTCCGCATCATGATCAGGGATCAGGTCTATCAGGCTTCAGGTCTCTCAGGCCCTGGTGGCCAGCAGCCAGCAGTATACAAGGTGGGGGTTATTGGGCGTGAGGAAACAGGTTTGCCCTGGGCTGGGATGTGGCCACCCCAGGGTGCAGGTGCCCAGCACTGGAGGGCAGGGCTCAGTGCTCATCCTGCCCAGGCTACGGGCTTGCTGGCTGCAACCCTCCCCCTGGGCCTCAGTTTCCCCAATGCACACCTCTCCATCCGGATGGCTTCTGTCCGCCGCAGTTTCTCCTCCCAGGTCTCGTTGAGCTCAGCTATGATCTTCTCTGTTTCCTGGGGATTGAGGCAGAGCACAGTGAGCTGCTGGGGCTGGGGCCAAGGGAGAGGACCATGGAGACACGGGTGCCAGGAGAAGGGGCATCAAAGCACAAGAGCCACGTTCCTGGGCCCGTCCAGGCACAGGAGGTGTCCAGAAGACCAAGGTGAAGCTCAGAGAATGTGTGTCTTTCCCTTAGACACGCTCAAGAGAATGGGGAAAATGCAAAACAAATCTGGAAGGAAAAGAGAAGCAAATGCTCCTGGGAGATGCTGAGCCTCGGCTCCTAAAGCACAGCCATCCTCGCTGCTGCCGAGAGGCCCAGGTACTCACCCCTCTTCAGGACACTGCCCAGCATCAGCCTGGTCTCTCCTTTTTCTTCCCACCCACAGCCCAATGGGACCCCAACACCCCAGAAGGGCTCTCTGCTCCAGGGTCACAGGCCCAACCTCGCCCCCATCCCCTTCCTCACACTGGCCTTGATGGGGCCTCTGCCTTTTCCCCTCAGCCCCTCAGTCTCCAGGCGTGTGGCTCACCTGCCCCTGCACAGCCACTCACTGAGGGGCGTGTGACTGGAAACCTAAAATGATCCTGGCCCGTTGCTGGGCACCAGGGAGCACACTGTGCCTGGGAGTGGTTGGAGGTGGTGACTATTCCCAGGCAGATGTGCAGGTGTGAACACAGGTTGGCCTGGAAGGGGCTCAGGAGCCTGCACCACGCTCACCACCCTCCTCAGGGAGTGTAACTCTATAGGACACCAGCCAGGAAGCTGCTGTGACCTGGGGCTGTCACCAGTGGAGGGGGTGCTGTGGGGTGGGGAGGGGCGAGGCTCCTCTCTACCCACAGACGCCATCCACCTCACTGGTCCTTCTACCCACAGACGCCATCCACCTCACTGGTCTGTGAACAAGCGCCCACTCACACAATTAAAGACTCGACAGGAAGAGTCTCAGTCCTGGGCATTCATTCTTGGAGCTTCCCTGGTCCAGGCATGGCATGGGTGGGGGCACAGGCCATCCAGACACCCAGGTCTAGGGTCCTGCAGGGGCATTTCCTGTCCACCAGCTGAGTGTTGTGCAGCCCACAGCCTGGGGACCCCTGAGTGAACTGGTTGCCTTGACTGCTATGGGTGGTCTAGAGCCAGGACACAGGGCACCTGGGTGGCCACACGCCAGAGGCTCCTGCTGGTGCTCCACAATGGCCCTATGAGGATAGGCTGTGCCCAGGAGGGCAAGGTGCCTCTAATTCCTCCGAGCTCCCCACTCCCAGAGTCTGACACCCCGAAGCGAAGCCCCAAGTGGTGCCCTCACCTTCAGTCTTTCAATGGCCTCCTCGCTGCCCGGGGCAAACAAGATGCGCTCGTGGAGGCTGGACACGGAAGCTGCCCGGCTGGACAGGGCTGAGAGCGAGGATGAGGGGCTCATACCCACCAGGGCATTGGTCACTGTGGAGAGAGGGTCAGGGGCTTCATTCACCGTCCCGCCACGGTTAAGGTTATTGTTCTCAAGGTCGGACACGTCTATGGGGAGGAGGGGTAGGGCAGGCAGACAGACAGAGGGAGGGAGAGAAAAAAGATGAAGATGGGAAAAAGTAAGAGGTGGGGCCCAGAGAAGGCAAGAAACAGAAACCACCAACAAGGCACAGCAGCCCTGCCCGGCCCAGGACAAGCGCATGCAAGGCCTTCCTGCCACCCCTTGCCTATGATGGGACTGGGCTGGCAGTGGCGCCCACTTGCCCGCCTGCTCCCCAGGCCTGCCCTCCCCAGCAGCAGCGTGGCATGGCCCTGGGCACCCTGGAGTTCCCCTGCACCCCCTGCACCAGGCTTCTTGCTTTCCCTCAGTTGCACTCCAGGTCCCACTGCCAGGCCGCCCTGCAGCCCCCGCACCTGAGGGCTGGGAGCCTGTCTTCCCTGCATCTTCCCTCCCTGTCCACTGGCTTGGCATGGTCACCCAGCAGTGCCCCGTACAGACCCCCACGCTTGTCCTCCCACCCCTCGCACCCACTGTCAGCCTGGGACACCACACACCCCTGAGCTGTAGGGCCGGGCTGCACTAACTGTTCAGCCCACTGACGTGGAAATCGGCCCAGAGACCATCCTGGAGGAGGTGAACATGGGACCCTCATGAGGGAGGCCCTTCCCCTCCACCACGAGGAGCTCACCCACCAGCCTAGGCCTCATGTATCCCCAAGGCCCGGGAGGTAGGGCTGTGACATCTCTGGAGTGGGTGGTGCCAGGGGTCTCCTAGCAGAAGCAAACACACAGCAGAGCAGCAGCAAGCACGGGACCACATGGGGTGTGGGGGAAGTGGAGGGCACCCTGCAGCCGGGCTCGGGGAGGCATTGAGCCCCATGGAGCCAGGCCCAAGGCCAGGAGGCACAAAGGCTGGGCGGGATTTGGCAGCATCCACTGTGAAAGCTGAGCTTGTGGCATTTCCAGAGTAGAGGGCCTGGGCGTGGGGGGTCAGGTCAGCTGGAGAAATGGCATTGCAGACGGAGGCCTGAACCAAGAGCTGGGGACAGGACAGTCCCTCCAGCCCTCCTGGCCCTTTGGTGCTGATATCCTGACCTTCGCAGGCCTCTGGGTGCACGGGGGGTCACAGGGCCTGACCTCGGCCACGTTTAGCCTGAGAAGGCCTCAGCCACACCCTGACTCCCCTGTTGCCTTGGTTTCTCATGTAGACCATGAGTAGGAATGAGCCAGGAGTGTGGGCTCAGAGGCAGACAGAGTCCCACATCTACCAGCAGGGCCCTGTGACTGAGCGAGAGCAGTGCTTTCTGCCCCCAAAAAGGAGAAGAAAGCAGAGCAGGTGCCCTGGGGTTCACCCCTCCCTGCCCGTGCCGCCCTAGGCCCTCATGCTGGCTGGGGCTGGAAGCAGAGATGCAGAGAGCAGCAAAGGGAATACACACATTTGGGTCCTCCAGGCACAGTGTTGGCTACGGGGGAGGGAAGCGTGGGGGAGGGGGAGAGACAAAGAAACAGAAGAACAGGTTTGTCTCCAGAGGGTCAGGCGCGCCTTTCACAGGCCAGGGTGGCCAGCAGTGGGTGAGTGGCCACAAGCAGGTGGTGAAGGTCTTCAGCTCCAGAACACGGGGGGCCGCTGTGACCCCAGCACCCACAGCCTGCCTATGGGGCTTCCAGGGGAGCCGTCTGTGGCCCACTTGCATCAGCATTGAACCCAAACCATGCGGTACCATCCAGGCCAAGGCCAGGAAACTTGCCCTTGTCCAGGGCCCCCGCCCGGCCTCCCACCCAGAGGCAGTTCTGCCCAGGAACATGGAGCAGGGACAGGGATTTGGCCCAGAGGGGCTCTGGGAGCAGTGTGGAGCTGCCACAGCCCAGACTGCGGCCAGCAAAGTGGTGGCCCCAGGAGAGACGATGTGATGACCTGCAAGGCCCCTGAGCCTGAGGCCCCACAACCCTGTCCAGGACAGGCTGGTGCAGGCACTCACTGTCGGTGATGTCGCCAAGACCCTGGGCGTACAGCAGGTCCCGCAGCCGGGTCACCTCATCCTTCAGCTCACGGATCAGCTTGTTGTTCGGGTCCTCATTGATGACAGCATTGCAGCGGATCTGCTTGGCCCGGTCAGCATACCTGGGTGGCAGAGGGGTCTGTGGGCTGTGCTCAGGACAGGTCCACACCTGGCAGGTCCCAAGGGTGCCCAGAGCTCTGCCTAAGACCCAGCCTTTCAGGCTCAGCAGCCAGGCCAGAGGTGGACCTGAGCCAGCACGGCCTGGCACAGAGTGAGAAATCGCCCCCATAGCAAGTCTCTGGGGAGGGCATTTGGGGCCACAGAGGCCAGAGGAGACTTATAGGGGAGGTCACCCAATTACAGCTCACCCGCTTGGGGAAACTGAGGCCCAGGGGAGAAGGGACAGCGTGGTGTCCTCTCCCCCAGTGGTCCCAGGGTAGAGGGACAAAGTCCAACGGAAAAATGTGAGAACAGCTACATGTACGTAGGCTTTTGTCCACACTGTGTATCAGCTGATGCATATGTCTACATTTCCAGCTAGTACATGAACCTCTACTGGGACACACGCCCTTTGTTTCTCTTAAGCACTGGTGGTGCACGGTCAAAAGAGAGGAGAGACCACTGACCCAAACAACCGAGCAGCCTCTAGCACGGCTAGCCCAGGCTCCCCACCCCAGGTGCTCACTTGCCCATAAGACACACCTATGCCCCCTTTGCTATCTAAAAATCCCCAGTGGTTACCCCGGCCGGCAGGTGAGTGTAAACTGCTTCGCCTAGCAGGCACAGCTCTCCCAGTCTGGTGCCACAGGGCCCTGGGCTACCCACAGCCCCAAAGCACACCCTCAAAGGCTCCATGGAGGGAATGGAACAGGGCCCATGCAGGCCCAGGAGCCCCAGAACAGTCCCTTCCAGCCTCACAGAGTCCAGGGTATACCCCTCACAAAGAGTCGTCCCTACTCACTGACACTCTTAATTCAAGCATGGGAGGAGCCATCCCCCAAGACCAGGGAGCAGGGAGCAGAGCTCCCCTGGAGAGTCCCAGGGAGCAGAGTGTCTCCCTGGAGAACTCACCTCAGCGTGCTGAGGGTCTCGTCGTAGTTGATGTCTGCAGGACTCAGGGCTGCCACCATAGCTGTCCTTGAGTTACCGCCTGTGGGAAGAAGACCAGGTTGTGCCCAGAGGGGGATCTAGGCCCCAGTGCCATGACTGCTCCCCCCATCCCCCCACATTTACAGATGGGGAGGCTGAGGCCCAGAGAGGTAAACTGAGTCACAGGCTTATCCCCATGAACACAGACAACCGCAAGGACCTGGCCTTCCTTGGCTGCCCCTTCATCTCTGCACCAGGCACTGCTATTATTTCTCTTCTACTTGTGTTTTTCTCACATTTGGGGCCATTTTACAACAATCAGGCCTTCCTTTCCCCAAAGCAGAGAGGAAAAGTTGTGGAGGGTGTTAAAGTATTTACTCCAAAATAAATACCACTTATGTTCAATAATTTTTTCAAGCACTTCTATCATTTTCATTTGAAACACATTCCTCAGTATTCAACATCAGATTCCTGGCCCAGGTTAGTAGGATCCCAGCATCAGGTAATGCGTGGCCTGAGGAACAGACTGTGTTCTTTCTCTTCAGGGAATCCTGTCTAGGTGACCTCAGCAGTCAGAAAAGATCACCACTGACTCCACCCCAGCCCTCAGGACTGCTGCCTGGTGGTACTTCAAGTCTAGACAGATGATCTTGCCTGCTTGACCCCAGGAAACTGTGTATCCTTAGGGCCGTGTCCCCAGGGCATGGGTCCCTGATGAGTCCCTATAGGTACTGAAGAGACAGTGTGAAGGGCTGGGCACATGACGCACGGGCCCTAGGAAAGGTTCTGTGGGAGGATTCCCCTGCCCCCGCCCTGGGGATGAACCTGGGTGTGCCTGGAGCAGGGGGCTCCTGCCCAGCCCACATCTCAGGTGAAGGAACACACTCTCCTCCTCTCTCAGCGGGGCCCATCCATCCATAGGCCTGCTGCGATCTGCATTACTGGTCTGAGCTGGGGAGCAGCATGGCTAGTTGTGGGGTGCAGAGGTGGTCAGCCAGGGCTCTGCACACCTCAGCCATGCAGCTGAGGGAGGCCAGGGACCCCCAGTCATCTACGGTCACTAGGTCAGTACAAGACTCAGTTTGCCTCCCTGGGCATCAGCTGTAAATGCAGTTGGGGAGGACTCTGAGGTTATTCTGGGATGGACGGGATCAGCGTCGGGTGCATTTCAATTCCCACCTCCCCATCTAACTCTCACTGCTCAGAACTCAAATGGGGAGGAGGAGGTTTATGGCAGCCCCTCAAAACCCAGCAAGCAGAGATCCCCTGTGACAGATGGGGAAACCAAGGCCCAGAGAAGGGTGAATACTTGGCCTGGGTATCACAGCCCACCTGACCCAGACCACTGACATAGGCAGGTGTGTGCTGTGCCGCCACCTGGGCCATCCTGGTTCCCACACTTGCTTCATTAACCCACTGCTGGCCATTGCCCCAGGCCCTCCAGAAGGGCCATGAACTGACTGGACCCTCCAGGTTCACCTCCCAGTCTCAGCCAAGAAAGGGTGAGAGGCCTCCTGGCAACTGGGCACCCCCTCAGTGGGGAAGAAGGGCACACCCCAGGGTGGGATCAGAGCCCTGGGGACAGGCAGACCCACAAGTTCTCACCCAGGTTTTCCCGGAGGAGCCAGGTCAACACGGAATCTCGGTACGGAATGAAATCTGTCTTCTTCTTTTTCTTGTTCTGTGGGGGAGGAACATTCAAGGTCAAGTCCGAGCCCACTAGAGAGGAAGTGAAAGGGAGGGGCCAGTGTAGGCCCTGCCAAGTGGGTCCTCAAAGCTGGAGGCTGGGCAGGGGGCGGGACCCGCTCTGCTGGACACGTTCTCAGACTGCTCAGGCCTCTCCCTGCCCAGACCCCAGGGCACCACCCCAGAGGCCTCCTCTAGGCCACAGTCAGGGATTTGCTAGCACATCCTTCAGGTTCCTCCCTCGTCCATCCCTGCTGCCCCTGGGCCACCCAGCTGGACACCAGCCAGGAGTGCTGAAGTCACCAGCAAGTGTGTCCTCCCTTTACTCTGTCTGAAGGATCCATCTGAGCCCATGGCTCCTCCTCGAACACCATCAGCGACTCTTTCTGACCCAAGGGAAAAGGCCCCACAGCTAAATGTGGCCCTCCAGGCCTCTGTGGCCTCTGCCACACTTACCTCCCTGCCAGCTTAAATCTCCCCTTCACACAGAGTTCACCTGCCCTCTCCTCCATCAAACTCCCTATGGTCCTGCAGAAGCCAGCTCACAGGCCTTCCTCTAACAGCCTGTTCTCCCATCCCTCCCCTCAGAATGAAGCATCCTCCATGCTCTTGCTACTTCTTTGGCTCTTTAAAATATGGACTCCATCCACATAATGGCTGCCAGGAATTGCTTCTGATGGACACTCTGACTGACTTAATGATCCCACTAATTGTGGGTTTCAGTGACTTCCAATGTCTACTGGTTCATGTATGCATTGGCTTACGAAGCATTCGCAGAGCGCCTGCTGGGCCGGCAGACAAGGCCTCTGGCCCTGGAGCCTGCACCCCAGGACATGCACATAGATGCCACCTCAAGGGCTGGGTGCACACACAGACATCATTGTTCTTGAAGACAACCCCAGGAGAAGCTCCACAGGGCACATAAAGTTTGAAAGCTCTTGAGACTCCCTGTCAAAGAGGGTCCCGAATGCTGCACTGGCTTCTCCACGAGCAGGGTTTCAGGGTGTCCATCTTGCAGCTCAGCGGCACAACCGACCGCTTTCTTTTTTCTTTGGAAACTTGGTAGGGACTAACTCTACTCTATTTCTAGTTTTCTTTTGTTTTTGTTTTTGTTTTGAGATGGAGTCTCCCTCTGTCGCCAGGCTGGAGTACAGTGGCACAATCCCAGCTCACTGCAACCTCCACCTCCTGGGTTCAAGCAATTCTCCTGCCTCAGCCTCCTGAGTAGCTAGGATTACAGGCGCACGCCACCATGCCTGGCTAATTTTTGTATTTTTTTTTTTAGTAGAGACAGGATTTCACCATGTTGGCCAGGACGGTCTCGATCTCTTGACCTCATGATCCGTCCGCCTTGGGTTTCCAAAGTGCTGGGATTACAGGCGTGAGCCACCGCGCCCGGCCTCTAGTTTGGTTTCTGATTATTTAATTCCTGAGGGTGAATTTTCTGCCATGTGTCATATTCCTTGCTTCCACATAAATGTCCTCCAGTCATTCAGCCATTTCAGCAAGGAGCCCAGCAGCCCCCTGGGTTTCCTGCTCCCTCACCACTTCTCTGTCCAGTCGTGCTCCGCCATCTCCCAGGACCACCCTGTTCTCCCTTCTCGGTCCCCCAGCCTCCACCATGTCAAGCCTGGAACGCTGACCTTCCATCCTGACTGCCGCACCAGGCCACCCTGCTCCCGACCTATCCTTCAGGCAGCGCGCATGGCCTGAGGACCCATCCTTGGCTAAAGCAGACGCTGTGAGCCCTGCTGAAAACCCACCCGCTGCTGCCCACTGAAGCTGGGCCAGGCAGCTCGTGACAAGCGGGAACGGACCTCCCATCCTCAGATCCGCCGGGCTCCTGCCGGCCTCGCCTCCCTGCTCCGGGCCCTGTTCCTCAACCAGTGCCTCGAAAACTCTCTCACTCGGCTAATTCGAAAGTCTCTGTCACTGTCCCTCGCAGGGTCCCTCGCACTTTTCCTCCCAGCCCCTCACACAGCCAGTCACGCACTTCCCACGCGGTGGTTCCACATCTCAGTCCCGCACCCTCAAGCACTCAGTCCCTCAAGGAGCTCCCGCCATTCCCCGCGCGGTTCCCACGCGGCTGCTTGCAGCTCGCCACACAGTTCCTCAGTTCCTCCCGCCTCCCCACGCAGCTCCTCCCGTTTCTCCAAACGGTTCTTCACGCAGCTCCTCTTGCTTCCCCCTTTATTCCTCCATTATGGAAAACGGCAGTCACTCGAACGCGAACTCCACCCATGTGATGGCTGCCGGTCACACGGTTCATCATGTGTTCCCACAAGTTCCACACGCAATTCTGTCACAGTTCTCTGTGGAGTTCTTTGCACAGTTCCACCCGATCCTCACCTAGATCTCCACGCAGGGCCTCGTTACACACGCGTTCTTCACCATTCTCCACACGCAAATCCTCCCCGTCCCTGACACTCTTGATCTCACAGTTCCTCACAGTTCCCCGGAAAGTTTCTCACGTTCCTCAAACATTGCATAACACGGCTCCCCACAGGACGCCTCACACAACCCTCCGTCTCTCCGAGTTCCCCACAGGGGCTCGCAGCTCCCGCACAGCGTTCCACACACAGAGACAGGCTTCTCGGTGTCCCACGGGCCTCACAGCATCCACGCAGCTCCCCGAAAACCCCTTCAGCTCTGCCCCAGTCCCCACACAGCGCCCACCCCATTCCACACACTTCCTTCCGGGTCACACAGCGCCACGCAGTGCCCAGCAGGTCCCTAGTTTCCCATCCAGCTCCTCACACTCCCGGACAACCCCTCGCACAGGTCTCCACGGCTTTCCTCACAATTCTGCACACAGTTCCACACACGGTTCCTCACCGTTCCCTACCTCTTCTCACACAGCTCCCCCCGCCATTCCTCATACAGTTCCTCACACGGTTCCTCACACAACCCTTCACGCCATCCCTAATGCGACTCCACGCACACTTTCCACACAGTTCCTCAGGCCATTCTCACTGTTTACCCCGTTCCCACACATGCCATTCCACACGGCTCCTCACGGTTCCCCCACAGCACTTCACTGTTTCCACCCAGTTCCTCACAGTTCCACACAGTTCTTCACAGTTCCACACTTAGTCCCTCACAGTTTCTCAGTCCCACACAGTTCCATACTGAGTTCCACACTCAGTTCCTCACAGTTCCACACACACTTCCACACTCAGTTCCTCACAGTTCCACACTCAGTTCCTCACAGTTCCACACAGTTCTTCACAGTTCCACACTTAGTTCCTCACAGTTCCACACAGTTCTTCACAGCTCCACACTTAGTCCCTCACAGTTTCTCACGGTCCCACACAGTTCCATACTGAGTTCCACACTCAGTTCCTCACAGTTCCACACACACTTCCACACTCAGTTCCTCACAGTTCCACACTCAGTTCCTCACAGTTCCACACTCAGTTCC